CCCCCCCCCCAGTCACTTAACATTAAAGCACGAAACTGTGAACAGGGATGCAGTTTCTTGAAACTGGACATGTCTGCTACAGTTACACTAAAGTACGGTCTGAGGCGTTGTGGGAGAATTCACAACAGATCAGCCCGGACCGAAGAGTAAAGAGAAATATAAAGTTGTTCCTGAGTATAAATACTTGAGCACCAAGCCGTGGAGACCTTTCGGGAGTAGAGGCATAGCTCCGCCATTTTTTACCTCGGCTCTAAGTGGAGGTGAGTGATGAGCTTCACGTCCCGCCCGCTTTACCTCCCGAGGAAATAGCCCTCGGTACCTGTTGGATAGGGGGCTGGGTGGGCTCCAGAGCTGGTCTGAAGGCTGTGCAGAAGAGAAAAATCCGTAGCTCTGATGGAAATCGAACCCCGGCCGTCCAGCCCGTATTGAGTCGCTATACCAACTGAGCTATTCCTACTCACTCCGACTAAGTTTATACGAGGCAGTGGGTGGGTAGTACTGGTCTAATATGACTAGTCTCTTTCTCAGTTGGGGATATTATTGTTATCAGTATTACTGCTAGTGGGGTGGGACTGAGTCCCTTGTACTGCGGCCACCTCTGGCCTATTGTACCAGCCTCACATGATAGGTGAGGGTGATTGTGGAGCAATTGGTGGAATGAAGATTGGCAGGGGAAACGGAAGTTCTCGGAGGAAACCTGCCCCAGCGCCGCTTTGTCCACCAGAAATCCTACTGGACCAGACCCGGGATCGAACCCGGGCCGCAGCGGTGGGAAGCCAGCGACTAACCGCTAGAGCTATGGCGCGGCCACGCTTACCACTGCTTTCATTTAGGGATATGTTTAATGTCAGTGTAGCAAGGGTAACGACAAGTTTTTCCCAATAACCAGATCGTTGCTTTCAGCTTACACAATATACGGCAGTGGGCCTTCCTCTGTTGCCTCGTCTTCGCTTCGTAGACGGACAGATGTCTTTATTACATAGGAATACTCGTAGAGAGCGAGTGGTGAATTTGTTCTTACCCGACAAATTGACTGTTTCTCGTAACATTCTGCAACTGCGCAACAATCCGATTGTGAGCACAAACTGCGTACAGTGTATGTTCCATGGTATGCAGGAAGTATGCCGGAACTTTTAACAACGCGATTTTTGTTAGTCCCCAATTATTGGATTTGTTTCCAAGAGGAAAAATAGTCCTATAAGGGAGAAGATTTTTATTATAAGCTGGTCAGTGTAGATCTGTAGATACGGCACAACGTAGAAAGTATTTGTGCTAATTCTGTTTGAGATGTTACCCTCTGTGGTTGTGGGCGATAGTTCGAACGTTTCGGCACCTCCGAAACTTCGGCAACACCTCCCACAATCATACGGTGTAACAATTCAAGGAGAGAATTAACATAAATAATTACCCACCGTGAAATCCTTAAAATAGTAAGATTTCTTTTTTTGTAGTGTATTAATTGTTCTCTAATGAAGCTATATACATTCAGTAATAAAAGTAGGTAAAGGTATCCCTGTAACAGGCCGTGAAGGCCCATAGGGTTGTGAGGTGTCCAGGTTCCCACATTTTCTAGACAAACGGTTCATCGATGGCGGTAAGGTTGTGAGCCCTACGCGCCCGCCGCCCTTTACCCCCAAGAATATTCCAAGAATATTAATGGTACTCATTTCNTTTCTGTTAGAGGCTGAGTCGACCCCAGGGCCATATTGCGACTGGAAGGATTAGATAAACTGAAAAAAATCAAATGACCTCATCGGCATTCAATCCCGCGACCTTCCGGCTTGTAGCATAGTGCCTCAACCAACTACGTGCCGCTTGCGTCATACAACATATATTCCGTAACAGTTTCCACAAATGTGTGATATGTTTCAACATTATCTTGTCATCTCTCGTCCCTCAGATAATCAAAATATAAGCGTTAGCAGCGGTATAAGAGCCTATACATTTAACATAGGTTTAGGTATTGAAAATCCATTTTTGTTTTTGCATTCCTAACACAACACGAATTAAAATGAATATATCCTTTTGAGACTATAAAATGGCCTGATAATGAAATCGAGCCCGCAACTATTATTTTCGCACCAGCGCCGCCATAAAAGGATACCATTCATTACACAGTTTGTATATTTGGGGGTGTTACGATACACAAGCATCGGTATCAGCATATTCTGGAATTGAAACCCGTTGCTAGGCAACTACTGCTAAGGAAGCAGCTATTTAACTGCCGTTCTTAAGTCACGGCTTCGCAAAGAAGCATGTTTCCACGCAACAGTTACACAGCCATAATTGAAAAGTGTTTTCTGTGCGATCGGTACCGAGATGTTATAAGCAGGACAGTTACTCGTAGTTGAGTGAAGTGAAGGGTAGATGGTTGGTGAGTGGGTTAGTGAGGTAGTTTGAGGACTACTGAGGTTTAATCGATGTGAGCTGTTGCTATATTAGACTGATAGCTGAGGGCGGGGATAGTTAGGGAATCCAGAGGAAGGGGAACGTCTGCCGTTGGAAGCCGCTACCAAGCAAAGGCATTGAAGATGTGCCTGTGGACACTAGTGTTTGTGTGTGTGTATGTGTGTGTGTGTAATAGTGAATTGTAAAGTGTAGTCACGAGCTGTATCAGTGAGTCCAGTTATTCGATCATCCTTCCAAAACATGTCTAATTATTTAAGGTTTTAATTGCAGGTTCCTATACAGTGTGGTATCCTTTTATCCCGCTGCTGGTGTGAAAATAATAGTTTCGGGCTCGATTTTATTATTAGGCTATTTTAGTCTCACAAGGATATATTCATTTTAATTGACGTTGTGTTAGGAATGTAAAAAAAAAATAGGCGCAAATAAGCTCTGATGCCGATGCACCTAATGGATCCATCATGGCACGCAAGTTGCTTATTTTACTAGGCATTAAATGTTAATATTTTGACATATAGACCCGTTGTTAAGTAACAGCTGTGTAAACAGGCAACAGTACAACATCCTTTGCTAGGGAATAGCGCTGTTTACATGTTGTTTCCTTGGCAACGAGTGAACGCGCAATAGTGAAAGGGACATTTTCCCTGCGGTCCGTGTCGGGACTATATAGAAAGAACTGCGATCGTTCAAGTAACTAGGCTGCCGTTGTAGCATAAGATATGTAACATGGGCATGATCTGCTTTGCAAAGCCTATACTGTCAGAGGACTTGTATATAGTGAAAAAGGAAGAATTTCAGTAACATGCTACATGAGGCCGCGCCATAGCTCAAGAGGTTATTTGCTGGTTTCCCACCGCGGCGGCCCGGGTTCGATCCCGGGTCTGGTCAAGTGGGATTTCTGGTGAACAAAGCGGCTCTGGGGCAGGTTTTCTCCCAGTACTTCGGTTTCCCCTGCCAATCTTCATTCCACCAATTGCTCCACAATCACCCTCACCTATCATCTGGCCTGGTACAATAGGGTAGAAGCGGCCGCAGTACAAGGGACTTAGTCCCCACCCCACTAGCAATAAAAAAAAATGCTACATGTGCGATACGTACACTTGACGAAAGGCCAAGCATATTTATAACAGACAAATCCATCTTTTCGTCAGAGAGGATGTTACATAATGATTAATACCGCAAGGGTTCAGTTTTGGGGAAAGAAATATCTGGTCGTGGGTCTCAAGGGGCTTGACACCAAGACAAACTGATTGGCTGTAAACTGCCAGCCGTAAAGTAACTTTGACTTTGACTTAGGAGGCGAAGAAAAGATATGTCTCGAATCTGAGACAGTAAAATATGCTCACGATTCCCACGGGACTCGGGACCGAGAGTGACTGCGCTGGCGAGGACTAGCATCAATTGTAAACAATATACAACCCTCTTGTTAGATCGCCCCACATCAACAAACCCGCAACTGTCTGACAGTAATAAAATTCTGGTCGTAAGCGCCAGATGGGTGCTTTATTCCAAGACAGACTGGCTGACTGACTGTCGTAACATAAGATACAGACTCAGACTACATAAATAGCTGAAGAGTCAGCCCGTGTGGAGGCAAGGTCGAATACCTCCACCGTAGCCTTGCTAGTTGTAGGAGGAGACGAAAATTGAGCCCAGTGCCTGGGGGTATAACTGGGCCACCCTGTTCCTGGTGGATATACGAAGACCAGGCCCTCCAGGTTTGGAGAGTCTCAAATGTGAGACAGTGAAATGTGGTCATGTGTCCCCCGGAACTCATACATGAGAATGACTGCGCTGGCGAGGGCCAGAAGCAATTGTATACATAAGGACTATGGCCGCAAGTGTTCAGTTGAAAAAATACTGGTCGTGAGGCTCGAGGGGCTTGTCGCCAAGAGGAACTGATTGGCGGTAAACCGCCAGTCGTAAAGTACCTCTAACTCTAAATACATATCGTTGAAACTGGTAGAGAATATGGTGTGTGACTGCAGTTATGTCGTGCTACACAAGAGTGCACTGGGCCAATAGGAACCAAAAACAAATCGATCAGCATATTTCGGTATACATTCTCAATATGCTCTGCCATTTTCTATTAACATATGCACTGCAATATGCAGTGTGCGGTCAACAGCTCTCTCTTGTTATGCTTTTTTCCTATGCAGTTGATATGAAGTGTGCATGGAAAGAAAGTTCTACTGATTCCGCGAAATTAACGTGTCGCGATACCAGATTGTGTGTCACGGCTTACCTGAATGGCATTGGTAACGTTCCAAGCCGCCTGCCATTCGTTGATCTTGTGTTTGCTTCTTCCTTCTCCGAATTCACCTCCTCCACCCATGCTGTCGCTTCCGAAGTCAACACTCGCAAGGCTGCCATTGCCACGGGAATGCTGGTAGCTCTGCTGCCTGTCGATGAACCCATCTTCAGCAATTCCTCCTTCAGTCCCGCCATAGTCCCCTCCTCCTGGCATTGTTGACAGTTCGGTGTTGTCTTCCAGCCTCTGATGGCCCTCTCCCCCAAATTGTGCAAACCTCACGTGTTCTCCAGGTTCCCTATGTCGTGCCCCCCCGCCCCCTCCATCCCCTCCAGTTGCTTTACGGACCGCCTCAAAGCATGGACTAGTGTCTGGCAAAGTAGCCTTAAATGTTTCCCAAGCCACATTAAGTGTTGCCCTGAGTGGGGGAACAGTGAATCTTCCGAACGTTGCCATTATTTCGTTTTGGAGAACTGCTTTATATATATATCGTATTTTGTATGTACGTTTCAAAACAGAAACAATTCCAGTTCTTCCTCGCCCTTGTACCTATATTTATACAGACCAGCTGTGCTAATTTAGTGTAGTTACCATGTACAGCTATGTCACAATTATTTCCTTGTACAATATTATATCTTAATATGTAGGTAATCCTTAATTTTGTAATCCAGTTCACTTGCAAGGAATTCTTTATACAAAATTCTAAAGAAAATGATAAAATCGATAGTAAAATGTTAGTACTTTTTATGAATTCTTTTGACCCAAATTGTAGCAACTCGAAAATGCATCTTTGCTGTTTTATATGTACGAATTTACTATATCACAGAATTGTTTCTCATGATTCACACTAGTTCCTCTTATACGAGTCTACCAGTGAAACAGCCTTACTGTAAGAAATGCTTTCAGCACCGCCATACTTGGCCATTGCACCAAGTTACTTCTTCTGTAGGAACACAGGATGATCATAAACCACTTCATACGTGAGAATTATACCTTCCTTGTTGCAATTTTGTTTCAGAAATAACCTTTTAATTCATTCAACCATTAATTTACTCGAAAAGTAATTAGATACACAGAAGTACGAAACCTTTGCTTTTAAACCTGAAATGTGGTCACGCCATCTTCGTAAAACTGAATATGGATGTCCTCATTTATTACAACTGAACATGCATTGTCGACGAAAACAAATATATATCAGCACTTCCGGTCCGTATTAAGTCGAAAACCTCGTTCCTTGATTCACTGAATTTCCCCACTTATGTAACATGAGACGATATGCAGTGTGAGATAATGGTCCATCCCACAGACTAGGGACGCGTACCGTTGTGCCTCGGATCAATCCGACACCGCGAAGCGAGGGGGTGAAACAGATCACAACGCCACACCCCCACATTGCTTCGTACAGATGTGACGAAATACTGAACTAACTATGTTTAACGACGATTCTAGTTCATTTTGTTTTAATTGCTGTAAATAGCACAGTTAAATTTTATCACGAAATCACAAACAATATGTTGAAGTTTTCTTTTCAAAGAGACCCTACTTATGAACAATGTGTACGGTATACAGTTGGGCTACACGATTACATTAAGCAGGGTGAGATGAGTTGGACATGCAACATGCATGTGAGACAAAATAAAAAAAAAAGTATAAATTGACTGGAGGACCTCAAGAGAAAGAGAATCCTTGGAGAAGATAGGAAGACTATAAAAAAATAAATATAAATGGGGTTGTGGGGCTGTAGACTGGATTCAACTGGCTTAGGACAGTATGATAGAGACATCCGGGCTCCTAACTAGAAATCTCATGACAAACTAGTATAACAGTAAATTTCCCGATGACATATCTGTACCTGGTTGTAAAATATACGGCCTCACTATACGGAGTGGACAGATCAGCGAAATTTTCAAGATTACCAACATATGCTGATTTCGTAACGCACAAAGCTCTTAATATACTGCACAATTTGATTCCTAAGTCCCAGATTTTTTATGGACAGCAGAGCAGAAGAGTTCAGTAATATACACTCGTATCTTCGCGTAATAAATTATACTCGTACAACTTTACAAAAACTTTAAAACAGTAAAAATAGTCTGTGTAAAAATCCAGTCCAGTAGACTGGACGGAACGAAATACCATTGTTTTAAACTGTCTCTGCTGCACAGAATCCAAGTTATTATCTTCTGCAATGCGAAGCCATGTAATCTAGAGTTTCCGACGTTTCGAAGAAACCTACTGACTCTATCTAAGAGCTGAATAACGATCGGAGCGCTCCGAAACGTCAGTTTATTGATATTGTGTAGACCTTAAAAGTATTCAGGTTTTTATTTCAAGAGCGTTTTTTGAGAAGGCAAATCGGAAAGCGAGATATAAATGTCTCACGCCGGTGGCGATCTGGTAGGAATATTAAAAAAAAAATCAGGAAGTATGAATATTCTGCACAAATTCATCCTTTGTTGTTGACGTAAAAGTTGGTCCCCTTGTCAGCAGATCCTTCCCTTACAATTATGTTTAAAATATATATTTTTTTACGTTGTAGCGGACAGTTCAGGGAGTCTGTGAGTGAGGGCGGCCAGGGGTGTATCAGCGTCATTGGCTACATGCGCTCGGATAACATTCAATGTGGAACATTTTTATAAAATCCAGAACGTACTTACTTAAAGACTGACCGGTATGAAACTGGAAAGTATTCTAACATTTTGTAAATAGCTGAGCGCAGACATTATAAACATTGAAGAAAGCAGTCTTCTTCATAGTCACCGCCGTGAAAGCCTCAAATCTTACATTATAAACATTCTATTAATAAAATCGATATAACACGCTATGTAGGCCAATAAAAGTCTTGAAACAGTGACAAACATGTAACGGCCTGCGTGAGACTGTAAAGAGATCTGGCAATTTGCAAAAAGCTTAATACAAGGAGCAATAAATATTCTATTAAGAGAACTCAATAAGACAGTCTGCATATAGGCCAGTAAAACAAACATCTGACGTCTCAACCCGAAGTTGGAAGGAAACAAACTTGTCAACTCCTGTACCAGGAAGGAATGCGACAACATTGGATGCGTTAATGAAATCGTCTCTGCGACGTACTTTGAAGATCTTTGTGGTATTTTGTGCATTCTAAAAGCAGTATACGTATGTGAAACGGTAAAGGGCCATACCATAGTGTAAATACGGAAGCGCCGGCCGAGTTCTTGGACTTCTTTCTCAGGGTAACCTCTCCTCTACGTCGGGTGTATAACGAGAAGCAGCGGCGATTACGAGAAAGTCTGGAGACGGCAGTTAGAAGAGTAGGAGGTTGGTGTGAGATGGCCATAGGGAACGTCCAGTGGTGAAGATACAGCAGACTGAGACGACTTAGTAATTGCTATAGTGCATTGCAAAGGGTGTGAATTAGCGATAGCGCTGTAGTTATTTGTAGTTACGTTCTGTAAGTGATCAATAAATCCAATTACCAATCCAAACCGTCTATGGTCGCGCATGCTTTTGTAATTGGATAATTTACCAATAGTCGCGAGAATGTAACCCGGCTTGAAATTCTTCGGAGGTTGCTTCTACGCCATATATTTATTCAACCAGTTGACAATATAAGTACGACGTTCACATATTTGTGAAAGGCAGGTCAAAGAGCCATCTAACGAAGGTATTGAAGGAGCTCTTTTGACGTGATGACGAAGAAACAAATCCATACACTTACCGGGACTTGAGTATACATACAAAACTAAACTTTATGTGCTCATCTGTTTCAGCTCAACACCTACATACTCCCAGTACGGCGAATACGAACAGTTTAACGAGTATTTCACGATTGTCTTTTCTGTTGCCGATCACAGATACTGCATAGTCTGAGGCTGTTAACACATGAGAGTCTTTCTAATACCACTCGGAGCGTTTATCTATGTCCTTTGAAGGTTACAGACTTCACTGAGATGTTCTAACAATTGCTTTAGGATTTAGTAAGCGTCTATGATTATAGGAGTCGCCTCCAGCTAGTGCCGAAGTCAAGGAAATGTGGATCTATACATCCACTCCCCCCATACGCCTTCATGGCGTAGTGTTTAATTGGTTAAGCGCAGGGACAACTTTATCTTTTACCTTTTTACCTATCATTATACGTACCTAAATCTCGAATCGACTGTGGATGTCAGCGGCAACAGACTGCATGTTTTTGAATCGACGCAGGAGTCTGTCTTCATGAATTAGTAACTATGTTTCTCCTCAATCGGCTTACGCCTCTACCATTCAGTTTACCTCTCCCATGATCCCCACTTGTGTTCTCTTAACGGAACTCCTGCAAATTAAGTTACGCAGTAGAACAGTGAAGGATAAATCGAGACCAGGCTGAAGAAAAGAGACTTGACGATCAGAAATTGGTACAAGACGGGATAAGCTTATAAATGAATATAGTAGGAGAAGTTCTATACCAAACGTTCGAATTATCTACAATGAAACAGATGAAAGCCCATCGGTTGACTTCCAGTTTCTAGTTATCTTGTCTACCGACGGAGTATAAAGCGACACCTGTCCCAAAACGTACTGCTGGCCAATCGCTTCTGAATGAAACACAGCGGGCGAGTCTTAGGTCTAATGCTTCAGAAGTGGTGGATGAAAGAGATCGGAGATGCGAGAAAGCTGATTTAAAATACTCGTAAAGTTCATGATTTCTACAAAGTCATGTAGGTCTGACCAACAACTGGCACGAACCCTGTCTTGCTCGGCGGTAATGTGAAGACTATTTGACTAAGCCAAGGCACTGGGATATAAACACCCGAAATGCCTTCCTTACCTGTTAAAGCTAGCTTTTTTTATTGCAAGTGGGGTGAGCAGGGGCGGCCCGTGTATAGGGACTGCGGAACTGCAGCACCCCCAATTTCCACTTGATATTATCGATAACATTTATATAATGAGCCCTTTTTTCTTTATACTTGTACAATACAATATATAATCCTTAAGCTTAATGTCAGTAGCCAAATCTTTGTATGGAACTGTGCACTTCTGGAGCAGCACCCCCACTAATTTTAGCTACGAGCCGCCACTGGGGGTGAGACTAAGTCCCTTGTACTGCGGCCACTTCTGGCCTATTGTACTAGCCCGAGATGATAGGGGGATTGTGGAGTAATTGGTGGAATGAAGATTGGCAGGGGAAACAGAAGTACTCGGAGAAAACCTGCCCCAGCGCCACTTTGTCGACCACAAATCCCACTTGACCAGACCCGGGCCGCCGCGGCAGAAAGCCAGCGACTAACCGCTTGAGCTATGGCGCGGCCCTAAAACTCGCTTTACTATAGATGATACTGTTTCCTAGTATAATTAACGACAGTCTCAACTGCATTATTACGTAGCTTCGAAGGAGGGGAGTACGATGAATTGGGAAGGATGTAGAAGGAAGGGATCATGGCTTCTTTAAGGCACTCGTCTCAGCATTTGTCAAGAGGAAATAAGGAAAAATAAATATCTTTGTCAGGATAGCTGCCCTCCGAGCAGAAAGTCAAATATGGGTCTCCCGAGAACGAAGAACGCGTACATATACTCATATACGGCGGATTAGTGACGCAAGGTGTGATTTGCACTTCCGCAGTAGAGGGACTGGTGCCGTTCTTTACTAGGTGAGCAAGAGCCCAAACCGCAAGATATACGGTAATAATTACTGTTCCATTTTAAAACTGGATATGTGTGTCAAGTTTCACAGCAAAACAGCTCCGATCTCTCATGTGTCATCAAGTAAGGCACCATAATGTCCCATGTCTATTGTGGGCCTGCCGCTTTAATTTCTTTTTAATTCGCTTAGTGGGGGGGGGGAGTCCAACTGTGTCCACTCGGCACGGCGGCCACTGATTGGCCTATTGTAGCCTGCCTCGGGTGATTATGATGATGGAGAATTTGGTGGAATGAAGATTGGCAGGGGAAACCGAAGTACTCGAAGAAAACCCGCCCCAGCGCCACTTTGTCCACCACAAATCCCACTTGACCAGACCCGGGATCGAACCCGAGCCGTTGCGGTGGGAAGCTAGCGACTAAGCGCTTGAGGCCGCTGGCCTGCCGCTTTACATGCACACCAATACAAATGAAGTTCGTTGGTCTTGCTATCAGGTCGAAATATCTCCTCCTTATTCCCAGGCGACGAGTTTCCTTTCTTGCGAAGCGCCTATTAAAATCGCTTCTTTTTCCAGTTTTTCCTTCTGTGCATAAGAAATAAGTACAGAATTCCTCATCGGATTTTCATTAAATTCAATGTTTTGAGATTTTATTAAATTTTTTCGAAACACTAAAATTTTGGTTAAAATCAGACAAAAATAACTGATAGTTTACATGAAGATGTATATGCATTTTTGCGTCCGTCTCGAGCATAACTCGC